TTGTTAATTCATATTATTCCATTTCACGTAATATGTTAATCCACTGTTGCTTTCAAGAGTTCCTCTTTACTGTGATTTCAGAAGTTTGACTCTGATGTACCTAGATGTAATTTTCTTTTTCTTTTTCTCCCCTGCTTGGGTTCACTGGGTTTGTTATATCAGTAAATTTATGCCTTTCACTAAATTTGGGGATTTTTTCACCATTATTTTCTCAAATATTTATTTTCTCTCTTTTCTTCTGAGGCTATGATGACACATATGTTGGACCTTTCCACACTGTCCCCATAGCTCACCGAGACTCCTCATTTTTCCCAATCTTTTCTCTTGGTTTTTCAGATTGGATACTTTTTATTGCTCTATCTTCAAATTTACCACCTCTTTCTCATTTCAATCTGCTATTAAAGCAATATTGTGAAATTTTAATTTCAGATACTGTGTTTTTTCACTTTTTGGATTTCCATTTGTTTCTCTTTTGTGGTTTCAATTCCCTTTCTAAGATTTTTCTATGCATTCATTATGACTGTTTTCCCTTAAATCCTTGAGATGGTTATAATAGCTGTTTTAAATCCCTTAATGTTAATTCCAACATCTGTGTCATCTCAAGGTCAGTCTCCATTTATTTGTCTTTTACCTGGAGTTTAGGTCACATTTTACTGTTTCTTCATAAGTCTAGCAATTTTGGTTCACTTGGACATCATGAAGAATACATTATAGGGACACTGGATTCTGTTGTGTTCCTCCGAAGATGTTTTCTTTTTGTCTTTAAACCAGCAATTAATCTAACTTCAAACTCAAATTCCAACCCTATTTTTCCTCCAGTGGAGCAGCTGAAAACTCAGTTCAGTTCTTTTAGGCCTAGTTGGCCTACTTGGAGTCATCCTCATGCATATGTAGTACAGGAATTAGCTAGAGATTATGGCCTGGTTTATATACAGAATTCCCCTTTCCCTATTCTACCCATGGCTTTCATGTTTCCAGGATTTCCCTTCTCATTTTCTAGCTACCGTGGTCTCCCAAACTCTGTCTCCAAGCTGGTAATACTGTGGATTTCTATTAGAATTTTACCCACCAAACAAGCTGCAACTAGGGCCCACCCTCAGACAAAAAGCTGTATCAAAACAGGAAAATTATGCTATGCCATTTCCTTCCCTCAAGTGTAGATTTACTTTCAGTTTCCTTTAGTTCCTCTAGAGTGCCTTCAGATTATTGTATTTTATATTTCATATAGAGTTTATATTTGTTACCAGAGAGAGGGTTGACATGATAGAAGCTACTTCTTCATTACTGGAATACTACTTGCATTAACTTTTTATTCACTGAGAAATCATTGTTTATTAGTTTTCATGGTACCTTTATGTAGTAGTTGCCTGGTATTTGAGTTAAGTAGATTTTCCCCTACTGTAGCACTGTCAAATATTTTATTCATTTATTCATTTCCCATCTATTTATTGAGGATCTGCTAATTTCTAGGCATTGGATAAAAGTAAACAAGATGTAGTTTCTGCCATCATAGAGCTTAGAGTCTAGTGCTGCACTATGTATTACAGTAGTTACAAGCCATGCATGACTATTTAAAATTAAATTGAAATTAAATAAAAATAAATGAAATAAGAAGTTAGTTCCTCAGTCACACTAGCCACATTTCAAGTGCTCAGTAAATAGCCACATATAGCTATTAACTACCGTAATGGACAGAACACATATAGAACATTTCCATCATCCCGAAAGTTCTACTGGACTGTTTTGATGTAGGGGAAGTGAGGAGTATGAAAATTTATCACTAAAATCTAGTATAATAACATAAAAAAATAGAGTTATATACAAAGTAAGACAGCTGAACAGAGGTGATAATACTTAATTGATATTACAAAAATCCAAAGGGGTGCTGATATTTAAGCTGAATTTTTGATGATTAGAAAGATTTGATTAATCATCCCAGGAAATATGAACAGCACGTCCATAAGCTATGAAGACCTAAAACAGATTAGGGAACTACAAGAAAACTCCTTGGCCGGCCCGGTGGCGCACTGGATAAGTGTGCCGCTTGGGAAGCGCGGCGGCGCTCCCGACGTCCATAAGCTATGAAGACCTAAAACAGATTAGGGAACTACAAGAAAACTCCTGACTTTCCTATTTCTATTTTAGGCATCTGGATGAATGGCAGTAGCAAACCTTTTCTTCTGAGGCTACACTGATTTGGGACTACATATGGAGCATATTTAACTGGAAAGTAATGAGTTTGTTTAGGACCATATTGCATCTGAGATCCCATTGGACACTTAAGGAAGCTGGATTTATAATTCTTGAGCTTCACAAGGGAAGTTTGAGCTGGAAATGCAGACTTAATGGCATAATATGTTTTAGGTGGTTGTTAAATTTGTTAGCATCTTTGAGATGCCTCAAAGGATATCAAGTGAAAAACGAAAGGAACTAGCACATCTTCATTATTTAATATATGTCAGACATTCTGTTAGGCACTTTACATATATTTGGGAAGAAATACAATTACAATTGTACTTTTTTATTGGAGAGACCTGGATCTGAATCTTTGCTATACCACTTTACTAACTGTGTGACCTCGAGCAAGTTACTTAATTTCTCTAAACTCGTTTTCTCAGTTTTCAAAATGAGTAATAATAAGACCTGCCTCATGGGGTTCTTTGAGAATTAAATAAACATTTGGAGTGCCTAGCATTTGGTAAGTCCCCAATACCTGTAATCTACTCTTATTATTGATATTATTATTAATGTTATTTTATTTAGCCTTCATAATAACCTCATGAAGTAGCTTTGTTGTCTCATATAACTGAAAGTATTATGACTTGCCTAAGGTTTCAGGTTGACTAGTGGATGATCCAGAGCCAGACTGCAGGTGTTCTGATTTCTTTTCAGGGCTCCTTTCATAATACTGCTCTGTAGTAGTTTCTTACAGGAATTTGAAACATGTACTTGGTTAATTATATTCATAAGAATATATATATATATATACACACATATATATATATATATATA